TAAAATAGTTGTTTCTCTTTTTTTTAAATATATATGTTGAGAAAGGAAAGAATGAAGGAAAAAATTAAGGCAATTTATGAGCACTATGTACATGATCAATGGAGTAAGATGGAATATAAGAAGGAATAACGCTGGTGCCTTGGTGTGATTTTTTTTTCAATTTTTTTAAACATCGTTTATTTTCACTTATCTTTTTTATTTTTTATTTATTTATTTAGTTTTTTTTACGACATACTATTACGGGCTGGGTTATGTGGAGGTCTGATGGTTTACCTCCGTTACCCCAGGTTGTTATAACGGGAAGGTGACTCATTATGTCTAAGTTTCCTCTTAGACTAATGCTCCATCCTTCCTCATCAACCAAAACTAGTAGTAACACCAAAGGCAATTAATATACCAGCGTATTAGGAGGAATAAAGTAAAAGCAACAGAAAAGAATAGAAGAAGAGGTTAAGATTTAAAAATCAGCATAGGGTGTTAACAAAAACTTAAGAGGAATAAATGCGAAGGAACTAGTGTAACATGGGAGTGGTACGCCAAATTGAAATAAAACAAGGGAAATTGCTAACACTGTGAAAACTTATGCAAGTTACAGAGAAGTGTGTGTACAACCAATAGCTATGAATAAGTACAATCACCATTTGTTAAAAAAATGTTGCAAGCTGTATAATTAAAGTGATGCAAAGTAATTACAAGTATGGGTCACAAAATAAATAAGTTTCGTCATGACATAACTCGAGTAAAAATAGTAAAATCTGTGAAAATAGATTGAGCGGATTAAAATGTACAGCATAGAAGTGACTTATTTACATGCAAAAATATTTAACGGTCCGTTTAACTATACAGTGAAAGTTTTTGTTTTTACATTTTATTATATTTTTTATTTATTTTATTATTTTTTTATCGGGTCCATATTTTTGTTCGATTAGTTTGTAATTCCACGAGTGTTGGGAGTCACCATGCGACAATGGGAATGGACTGGTCTAGTTAGCGGTTCGAGTGCAACGCCAAAAATAAAATGTTAGAACACTGTAACGAGAAAGAAATCTAACAGGATTAGTAAATGAAAAAGTGGCTACTGCCCACAAACGAAACCCAAAAGAGTAAATATCATGAAAAATGAATGTAACGTGAGAAAAGACATGAAGGTATGAGTTACTCTTGTAATTAAAAGCGTTTAGTTAAGAAATTCACAGTATCGTTTAGGCCAGTGTACACGCCGACCAGAGCGTGTAACCGGTGCCTTACTTGTCTCATCTGGGGAACTGCTAGGTTTAGTAGGATTTTCGACAATCGAACTTGGCTGGGGTGTGGGTGCGGGCGTAGTTGCTGGTTGTGTAGGTGTGAGGGGTACAGATTCTTCAATGTAGGCCGCTTTAAGTCTGTCGACACTTACGGTGTCTTGACGGCCAAGTCGATCAATAACAAAAAATTTTTCCTTCCTACTAACGACCTTGTATGGTCCATCATAAGGAGGTTGTAACGGTCTACGAACGGCGTCGCAACGCACAAAAACGTGTGTACAGTCATCGAGTCTAGCATCTACTTGCACTCTCCTGTTTTGTGTGCGTGTGGGAGTTGGTTGCAGGCGCTGCATAAGGCGCTTGAGGTTCTGAGCATAACACTGTACATCCGTAACAGTTGTCTCACCACTTTCAGGTGAGAGAATTTCACCCGGTAGACAAAGGGTGGTACCAAACACCAACTCTGCGGAGGTGCACTGTAAGTCTGCTTTGAGCGTGGAACGGATGCTAAGTAGCACTAGGGGAAGAGACTCAGTCCACTTAGTATTCTCGGTAGCCATTAACGAAGCTTTCAGTTGGCGATAAAAACGTTCTACAAGTCCATTTGCTGCTGGATGGTACGCGGTTGTTCGGATGCGTTTGCACCCCAGCAGCTCTAAGAGCTTCTTGAAGTGGGTTGATTCAAACCGCTGTCCACGGTCTGTAGTCACCGTAGATGGGCATCCGAATTGAGCTACCCAGCGTTCCATGAACACTCGGCAAATGGTTTCCGCGGTCGTGTCGGCGATTGGAATAGCTTCTGGCCAGCGAGTGAACCGGTCGACACATGTCAACAAGTAACAGTGGCCATTTGATGGTGGTAGAGGACCCACTATATCTAGATGTACGTGGCTAAGGCGAGCATCGGGTGTGGAGAAGGAACCCACTGGAGTGATGTCGTGTTTGTGGACTTTAGCTCGTTGACACGGCACACAGGCACGTGCCCAGATACGCACGTCGGGATTGATACCAGGCCAGAGAAATCTAGCTGACACTAGTTTGTCTGTTGTCCGGATGCCTGGGTGGGAAAGGTTGTGGAGGCTATCGAATACCGTACGGCGCAATGAAGGTGGAACGATGGGTCTCGGGGTACCGGTGGACAGATCGCAGAGGATGGTGCCCTCGCTATTAACAAGCGGTATACGCTTGATATGTAAGGAGGTATTTGACGACAGCTTATCAAGATCTAACTCTGTAAGCTGACGTTGCGCCATTTGTTTCAGGTCAATGGTTGGTGGCGCCGAAATGGTACATATCCTAGACAAGGCGTCCGCCACAGCATTGTCGACCCCCGAAATATGTCGAATATCCGAAGTGAATTGTGAGATGTAGTCCAAGTGACGCATTCGCGTGGAGAATATCTATCGGTAGTAGTGTGGAGGGCATACGTCAGGGGCTTGTGATCGGTAAATACTGTGAATTTCCGACCTTCAACAAAGTGGCGAAAATGTTTGATAGCCGCGTATATGGCGAGGAGTTCTCTGCCAAAGGTGCTATACCTCGCTTCAGCGGCGGACAACTTCCGTGAGAAAAAGGTGACTGGTATCCATGAAGTGTGTACCAGTTGCTGTAGAACAGCTCCAATGGCTGTGTTAGATGCATCAACTAAGATGCTAAGTGGAAGATGGACGTCTAGGTGGACTAGCATGGTGGCGTCTGCAATTGCCGACTTAATATTCTGGAAGGCTTCTCGAGCCTCTGGTGTCATGCTGAACGTTTTGCTCCTAACCTTTAGTAGGTCTGTGAGTGGCTGTAAAATATGTGCACATTGAGGAACAAATCGTCGGTAATAACTCACCATGCCTAGAAATGTGCGTAGAGATTTTATTGACATAGGTTCCGGGAAGTCACGTATTACCTGCGCCTTCTCAGGTAGCGGGTGAATTCCCTGTTCATTAATGACATGTCCCAGGAAGGTCAATGAATGGACGCCAATCAGACATTTGGACATGTTAAGTGTCAAACCATGGGTTGTTAACGCTCGAAAACCATCTGTAAATGCGTACGGTGGCTAGATTCGTCTGGGCTAGCCACGAGAATATCGTCGAGGTAAGCATATGCGCAGTCTAATCCGCGCAAAACATCGTGAATAAATCGCTGGAATGTTTGTGCGGCGTTGCGGAGACCAAATGGCATTCGAAGAAATTCGAAAAGACCAAAGGGGTGATCACTGCCGTTTCAGGAATATCATCTGGGTGAACTGGAATCTGATGATAGGCTCTGGTTAAGTCCAGTTTACTGAATACCGTGGCACCCTTTAGAGACGACGTAAGATCATGTATATGTGGTACGGGGTAGCGATCTGGCACGGTCTGTGCGTTAAGCCTGCAGTAGTCACCACAAGGCCTCCAATCTGTCCCGTTATTCTTTGGCACCACATGTAAAGGGGAAGACCACGGGCTGCTGAAAGGGCGGATTATCCCCATATCTAACATATGTTCGAATTCAGCCTTCACGGCTTGTAGTTTTTCTGGGGACAATCGCAGTGGCTTTGCAAATACCGGTGGACCAGTGGTCACGATATGATGAGTGACAGTAGAAGTCACACAAGGAAGTTTAGAAACCGGTTTGAACAGATTGGCAAAGGACTGAAGAACTACAGCGTAAGGGCCGTTAGAGGCAGGGGTTGAATATACTGGGCTTAACGCAGGTGTGTGTGTCACAACACCGGAGATCGAAAGGTTTGTAGCTGAATCGATCAGTTTGTGTTTGCCAGTATCAACCAGTAGCTGATAGTGTTGCATGAGATCCACGCCAATAATACCGGTAGTTACATCCGCCACAAGGAAAACCCAGCGAAATGACCTACGTAGGCCTATGTTAAGATCCAGGAACCTTTTGCCGTACGTTGTGATTGGCGAACCGTTTGCGGCGCGAAGCTGTAAGGAAAGTGGCCGCTTGCGCTCTTCAGATGTCGGTGGAATCACACTAACTTCCGCCCCAGTGTCAACCAGGAAGCGTGTCCCAGTGGTACGGTCGGTTACATAGAAGAGGCGACATGGGAGTGGTTCGCCAGCGACGTTAGTCGCCAATACATGCTGGCTTACTGGTTTCCCGATTGCTGGCCATCAAAGGTGCACGGGCGAGTGCACTTTTGGGCCTTATCACCATAACGCCGGTGATACCAGCACACTCCAGGTCGGGAATTTTGAGGCCTACGACGTCTGCTGCCAGCTCGTGAAGAAGATCTGCCACGAGTCGAGCTGGTGCGGCTATGTGAACGACCTCTAGATGTCCTCTCCTGTTTTAACTTATCTATCTCTTCATAAAGCTTAGCTATGTAGGCCACCACATCTAATTTTGATGACCCTTCGGTAGAGGAGTCCTTCGTCTGAGTTACGGTTACAGCCATCCCGCGAACAAGACGATATATAAATAGAATGATAACAACAAATATGAAACCAAGAAAACTATGAGTAAAAACAAGGCAAGACAAAAGTTCAAAGGTACAATGTACACTACAGTTTCATCTCTACCGTAGTTTTCCTACTTCTAATTTTTCGTTACTAATCAAGTGAAGTTAGTTTCTTCTACTGTGCTCTCGCCATAAGGGGTTGTTATTTGTTCACCCTAGTTTTGTCGTTTTCTTCAATTTTTGCCATTTGCGAATGTGTCTAAGACGTTTAGGGGAGTTTCAAAATAGCAAGTGCTGGGAAATCATCCAAACTCGTCAAATGACATTGGATATTGGATTTGCCTATCCATGACCTTGCCAATAGGCAGATTTAAGGCAAGGCGTTAAACCTGAAAATTGTGCGCTTACTTGTAAGTTGTATGGATTTGATCATAACCTAATTCTCACTACAACTAGGTTGCACTTGATATCAAATCATATCAACATTTCTTCTTAACACGTGCTTAGAGATATGACTTCAACAGCGTTGTTAATACTTTCTGACGGAGCAGAAGAAATCGAGGCAGTAACGGTCGCTGACGTTCTTTCCAGAGCTGGTGTTCAGGTAACAATTGGTGGACTTCAGGGCGAAGGAGTCGTTAAAGCAAGTAATGGAGTCTGCATCAAACCGAGTGTAGCACTTTCTAGCGTGTCAGCACAGCTCTTTGACTTGGTTGTTATGCCAGGTGGAATGGGTGGTTCTAAAGCCATGGCAGAATCCAAGTTGGTTGGCCAAATACTGAAAGACCATGAGAAAAATGACAAATACATAGCAGCAATTTGTGCTGCACCTATCGCGCTAGAAGCTCATGGAATTTGCAAAGGGAAGAAATTGACATCCTATCCGGGTTTCAAAGAAAAGCTACCAAGTTATACGTACAGTGAAGACAAAGTCGTCGTCGATGGTAAACTTGTTACTAGCCGAGGACCAGGAACGGCATTTGCTTTTGCCATGAAGCTAGTGGAACTTTTGTGTGGAGAAACTAAAGCTCAAAATCTCACGAAAGGAATGCTTGTTACACTTTAAACTATCGAAATCATCCGGTGTGTTTAAATTATTTTTAAATGTTAAATGTCATTTTAAACTGATTCAACATGTTCATTATTAGCTCAAATTAACTTTTCGATTCCTTTCACATGTTGACTTACGGTGTAAAAAGATGCGCGCGTACGTATGTAAATAATTGGTTTTGATAATTTTGTCGCATAATGCGTTCAACCAGATAAGTAAAAATCACAAAAGAAAGTGTGATTTTAAAGCTAGCCATCTACTAAGCAAGTCTTTACATAATTTCCAGCGGTATTTTGGTTTACCATTAACCAGCATTAGCGAGTGATTAAAATCACCTAAAGATGTTAGAATTTATAAACGCTTCGCCTTATAATGTCGAACATTGCTATTTGTGACCGACTTTAGCAGTTAGCTTTTTAACAGGGAAACATCTCAGTTGTATAGACAATGGGTTTCGTAAAGAGACGCGGTGAGCAGTGATCAGGTCGGCATTATTTTCCACTGACTACACAAAATCTGGTTATTTTTTAAAATTTTATTATAGCTCGGTTCCACACAGTATTCTGGTACAAGTATGGAATTTTCAGCATGTGATCTCGGTAGCCCAAATTTAGTAGGCTGACCAGTTTATATCAGGTGTGCTTCGGTCGGGGATCGTACCCCAGACCATGTGAATCGTCCTAACCGCTGTATCGCCGAAGCACGTAGATGATGTAGCCTTGCTAAGGGAAACATACGCAACTTGGTTTGCTGGACACTGCGTAAAGAAATGGACTTTTGATGTTTGCAGGGGTGGTTTGTGTTGAGTTCGAGTCACAGCACTTGAGGTCACGTGGTTGTCTTATATGAAAGTCACACCAAAACCCAGCCAGCTAGTTGCAGGCGTACTTCCATCAATTATGCATAAAATATTGATTACGTCGTCCCCTCACGTATGTTTGTTTATTGTAATATCGTTGTACTTCCATTTTTTGTATTGTGTCTGGAGGTGTTGCAAACTTGAACTAGTACGCATCCATACAGAGTTCCGTATGAATGGTATTCTCTTATAAATTTCAATCATTGGAATTTAGTCAGCCGTTTAGGTTTTAAGCACAAGCAGTGTATACAATAAATAGACTTGAAACCTATTATCTTCTTGGATATGCTCTTACCGAACTGTACTGTCGAATACGGGGTTTCAGAGACTGCTTAAGTGGTTTTCGGAATAGATTTCTTCAAGACGATGGTTGGATTAGGGATTGTCTGACTTATACGACTGCTTACAATATGAGCTTTAGCAAGTGTCACAATTAGTGAGCGTTATTTCAGCGTTAACCTGGAAAATCTCCGACTAACTATAGTATTCTTAATTCGATCGTGGTTTATGAAGGTAGAGCAACTTGTTGGTATTCTCAAACTGTCCACGTTTGCAACGATCTTTCTGAGATACCGAAGTAATAGTACGTACAGAAGGATAGCTGCAATGTTTTCGAAGCGATCCCCGACATCTCATAATCTCTCGGAGAAAAGAAGACAATTAATGGTCTGAAGGAATACGCATCCTAATTCATTTAGCGATGCAAACTTACTCTCACCTAAAATTATGCAGGACTTAGGCGTGAATTCACTTTCAACTCGAATTCCATAAAGAGACTACAGACAGAGAGCCATAGCAATAGACTAGTTCAACCGCGGAATTACAGTAGCCTTGGAGACGGGAATGGTCCATAAAATATCTCCCAGGCTGAATCTGCATTTTGGCGTTGCTCCCGCATTCAGACAAAAGAACGAGGGAAGGTGTGCCAGTTTTACTTGCCTAGTTAGAGCTGCGAGAGATTTTCTTTCGACCTTAGGACTAGTTTGGTTGTTGGTGCTTCGACCAACTTTTAATTAGAATACCACATTTCATCTCATATATGTTACACTGTTTTTAGTGACGTTAGCAGTTGTTCGTTTTAAGAATAACAATAGTCCCACAATCTATCTACCATTGGATTCACCGAACAGTTACATTCCTTAAGTCTCCTTTCCATAGAAACAGTGCTGCAGCTTTCTGAATATATGCATCAGATATGCAATAGCTCTTATAACATGAATAGAGTGCTAATTTCATTCGTACACCGTACAGAATAGTTCATAGAAAAATATCTCAAATGCAGCTAATAGACACCTCAAAATATATTAGAAGCCACACCCTCGCGTAAACCGAGATATCTGCATCCGATTGAGAAAAGCCAAGTGTAAATACATAAGACAGAATCAATATTTGGACAGACCCTGATAGGACTCGGTAAGGCCCTATAACCATAGCTTCATATAAGTACAATTAGCCAAAAGATATTTTCAAATCATAGCTTGGAAGATACCTTCCAATTTTCTAAACAAGTCGACCATGTTGTTATATCAGATAAACTAATGGTTTCATACGACGTGACTGCCTTATTTGAAAATGTACCTGTGATGGAAACAATAGACATCATTTGTATGCAAACAGATCTATTGCCATTACCGGAAGCAGAGATGAAGCACCTACCAATTCTTTGCACAAGACATCCAATTCAAATTCAACAACCAATTCTGCAGACATATTGATGGGGTTGCCTCTAGGACTTATTCTAGCTGATATCTTCATGGGTTATCTCGATCAGATGCTACTGAGTGGTGCTGTCAAAGAAACAACATACTGTCGATGATACGATTGTTGCTTGTAACCACATGAATCAGACATCCGCATTATTTGACCGCCTTCATGAGATCCATCCAAACATTCAATTCACCATGGAATATGAAAACAATGACGAGTTCAGTTTCCTGGACCTTAATGCAAAAAGCATAAATGGTGGAATGGTCGAAAAGTCCATCTTCACTACAACAACTCCTGATGTATAAGCGGGGATTAGTATGGACACTGTACGACAGAGCCAGAAAGTCACGTTCGTCTAAGAAGGTCGAAGAAGAATTAAGTTTTGTTAAAAAATGCCTTAAAGAAATCGGATATCCAAAGGGATTCATCCCAAAGTACAGCAAAGAAAGAGATGACAAAGTAAAGTATCCAACAGTCGAAAAGGAGAAAGTGTTCATTTGCCTCCGATTCAAAGGAGAAGCAGTATCATAAAAGATTGACAAGAGGATGAAAGGAGCAATGACAAAAGTGCTTCCTTGCAGCTAAGCTGGTGACGCTATACAGCAATACATGCTCTATAAGTCAATCGAAACTGCATATGTACTCTGCTGATATTGCCTCCAACTGCATTTATAAATTTACGTGCACCTGCAGTACAAAGTACATTGGAAGAACAGAAAGAAGGGTTTCTATCCGGTTTTCAGAGAATATTCCAAGAAACTTATGCTTAAAAGGAAGCAGATATTTATAAAGTGCAATTACCAGACACCTTGTGGATACGGGTCATTTATTCAAAATTTCCAAGTCTTTTAAAATATTAAACATACAAAGGACAGCAAATCTACTACGATTTACTGCTGAAGCAATTTCAATCAAGTGCTTGAGACCAAACTTATGCACAAGGAAAGAGAGTGTAGTCAATTTCTCACTCCCCTGGTAACCGTAATAGTCACACACATTAGTGAGCTTAGCCCATTGAGCAAGTTTTCAATTTGATGAACTCTAACCTTCTTAAGTTGCTACAAGCTAACACTGCTTATCACATTTTTCTGTCTTCATAGTTCGAAAGCATATAAATTGATGGTAACTTAAACTAGAAATTGTGATGTTTATATTCCGGATGCGTTCATCTTATAATCTTTTCTTTATATGACCTTTCAAACATTGAAGTATGTTATTGTCATTATTTATAACCATTGTAATTTCAGGCAGTTTGCAGTTAGCTGATGAGGAAGAACCTGTGAGAAACACACTGATGATATCACATTTTATCCTGCAAATTTGATCTTTCTTTCTCTATCGAAAACAGATTATTTCCTCCTTATATCAAACTAACTAGGCAGAATAACCAAATTTCATTGATGAAAAAACGCCCAAGTGTATGTACATTTGAATTTTTTTTACAATAAAATACAAAAATCTGAAATAAAAAATTATTCTCCTTCTCGTTGAATTATTTTGCCAAAACCGCCTCTTTCAGCATCGTAATCTCTACGGAATTCATCTCGCACCTATAATAAGAATAATAAATAATAGGAATGTTACGGTAAATTTTAGCATAGAGTTCAACATATTATGTCTAATGTGAGTGGTCTGTCTCTATCTGGATACAACATAGAACTTGGCACCAAAGTGCAGCACTTCGAGTTGCCACGTTCCAAATAGCACATAAAGGTAGATAAGAAGATGAGTGAAGAGAATCAATAGAGTTTTGACAAGTATAAGAGTGAATCAGAAAGAGTAATGATAGAAAGGAATATGAAAGATTACAGAGACTGAATACATCTGCGCCATTGACAACGGTTTTGAGCCATGTCACCTATTGTCTCCAGCCATTGATTGATTCTTAGAGTCCCGAGGGCCCCAACCCGGAAGTCTGCATCTCCCTACCTGACTCAGTTTAACTATCAAGGATTTCATGGATTGATTGATGCCATGTTTTTGTTTGGCCACCACTTACTCTTTTCCAACCTGCACCTAGATCAGCTAGTAATGCCCCTCCGTCGGGGGAGGCGATGGTTAGGCATGTGCAGCACGTGACCTAGCCACCTCAATCTATGTAATTGTATAGCCTCTTCGATTGATTTTCCCTCTTTGCCCAACACTCTACGCCTGACGTCAACATTACTTACCTTATTATACCACCTAACCTGAGAAAGAGACCATAGACACCTATGATAAAAAACAGTCAACCTTTTCATGTCTTCAACTCGTATTGGCCATGTTTCAGAGCCATAGAGAAGGACGGAGCGAACTGCTGAGCAGTACATACGTCCCTTGGTTGATAGCCGGATGTCACGCCTACGCCAGAGATGGTGTAAGTTAGCGAATGCAGCTCGAGCTTTTTGGATCTGTGCTGAGATTTCGTTGCTAATCAGTCCGTTCGTGCTGATACAACTTCCCAAATAGGTGAAGTGGTCAACATGTTCTATCACTAATCTAGGAGTTGACGTAGTCCAGTCCTGTAGCAGCCTCTTACATTTTACAGGAAAAGAATATTTCATCGATATGAGTGATTGCAGATAACTAATGACTGTCTATTCCGATAACGTTTGAAAGGTAGATATATAAAGCACCAATTATTAGACAAGTGTCTACCGTCAATTGTTAAAGGTAGCTAAACAAAAAGACTTTAATTCCTAAATGAAAGTTTGAAGACAACATCTTTGGTTTTATATCTGATTTCCTTAAAATTTGCAGATGATTTATTGCAAGTGATCCGCAATTTATTTATACAGCGCCAAATCGATTATTTGTTATCTAGAACACTAGGGATATTCTAACAGCACCTTAGTTCGAATTCTGCTCCGACCTACACGCTTTCACTTTACTTTAAATTATTATTGATTATTTAAGAATACATTCACAAGATAGGACAATAAAACAGAAGAAATGCTGAGGATGTGTAGAAATAAGAGTATAGAACAAATTGAAATGAAAAAGACTATGTAGAAAGGTTCTCGCAATCATGCAAAGTTGGACAGGTTATCGATTCCTGAATGCAAGAAACATGTAAGTGATTACAGATATAAGTAAAAGTGATATGCATATATAGGAATAGCATTGGAAGTCAGATATATTGTTAGATAGTCGTATGCGTACTGTCTAGCTGAACAATCCCTCACCCCCCGTTAGCAGGAAACATTGTGTGTGATACCCGTCGTTGTTTTTTTATAATCTCCGCTTACCCCCCCCCCTCCTCAACAGACTGCAGTTCAAACGAAGTAAATGATGAATTCTACCAAAAGCTAGTTCACTGCTAAAAGCAAAGTGCCCAGATAGTGATTTTAGCAGGTGACTTCTACGATCAAGTAGAGAAGCTGTGTCGTTCAGCAAATTATTAGAGGTGCCACCTATGTAGTTCCATGCCGACGAACTGACAAAGGTGATCCTCTTACAGTTTTGTTACTTCTCATCAGCACTAACTCTCAAATATGAGCGAGATATTGCCTAACCTGGCTATCTCTCCATCATCATATTCAACGATAGACCCAAAAAGATTACGTATCTGTAATCTACATATGAACACGTTCTGTAGAAGACTGCTGCAACTTATGGGATAGCCGCGTAAACCCTGAACCATGCATATGCCTACAACTCAGTGAATATAGATAAGCAGCTATGAAGCCGATACGCCCCCAGGACTTGGTGAGAACACAGTCTTTATTTAGGGAGAAATAACTAAATGCGTATCCGAGATTGGTAAAAAAGACTCATTCTGCGGAGTCCTAGCATAATATCCAGTCACTTTTAGAAACAGTAGTGAAGACTATTGATAACCTAAATAAAGCCAAAGGTTAGTCAGATTGTTGGAACATAAGAATTTAGCTATGGTAAGAATGGTTGACCCTGAGAAGATAAGTAATTTAGAAAAATACCCAGCACTGCATGCATTAGCACATAATAGGGTGGTGGGAGAGGGTTAAAATTCTAAGAAGTAATCTATGTAGGTGGAGAGTGAGAGAGATTGATTACTGAATCCTTGTTCATCGAGTGTACATCCAACACATGCAATAGAAGTGACTCAACGCAAATACCAGAGATATGGAAGATATTATTACCACCAGTCAGTCAAATCAGAGGAGGATAATAAATAATCTTAAAATTTCTATTTCAATTCAAGCACATCAAAACATTCTTGTTGTTTTGACTATAAAAACACTCGTCTTATTTCCCATCTGATTGTATTTGATTGATAACACTAACATTATCATTTCACTCATGTATATAAATGAAGTAAAAATTTGTGTGAGTGACTTGATATGATTATGAGCAATAGTTTGTGCTCGAAACGTCATCAGTTAATATTACTGTATAACACTACACTGTGATTTATCAAAATAAAATCTTATCTATAATGGAGTTAAAACATAGCTTTATCAGTCAATGAAATCTATAACAGGTAATTTAAGCCAACCAGTCACAACGGTAGGTGTAGATTTCCTGACTGGTTGGAGTCCTCGGGATGGTAAAAACCAATGATAGCTGGAGGCAGTTGGTGATATCGCTCAAAATCGTCGTTGTCAATGGCTGGCGCAGATGCATTCACGCTTTGTCATTTATTATATCCAATAAAAATCTGTTTTCTCATATTATTATTGTTTTTTCCTCATACTTCTGTTTATTATCTCTCACTTTTGATGAATCTCTCTTCTCTTGCTTTGTGTGTTACAAGGAGAGAGTGTGACAACTCAAACTGCTCTACATCTGTGTTGAAACCAGTCAGTCAGTCAGATGTGGTATAGTCGCACACCTACAGTGTATGTGACTAACTGCCACATAACAACAAAAAAAGCACTATTCAACAGCTGCGAATAAGCACAAGCCTTATTGTCTGCAAAAAAACACACACCTAGAAGTGAGACAAAAGATATTTGAAAAGATCAAAGAAACAAAGAAAAGATTATTATTTATCGTGCTTTTTGTTGTATTCACCGAAGATTTTAAAAAAATACGATCAAGGTGATGAAAATAGTGTGAGAAGACACGTGTGTCAGACACACAATAAGCCTATGTGCTATGAATAAGTAGGGAATGACTCACTATAACAAAAAAATCAATAAAATATATTGACAATTTCATTTTGACAATTCAATTCTACATACTTAATCGAATGAAACTAGGAGTATTTGTATAACTGATTAATAGAAGACTCGAGAAAGAATTTAAAACTCTTGTTCTTAATTCAGTGAATCGATAATGTCGGAACCAAAACTATGCCGAAAGACTAACCAGTAAATAAAACGACAAAGTTATCAACGTATAAACACAATGGGAAGTTGCATCAGCCTCAACGGGTTGATCGCTGACGAAATCTCAACACGGATACAGGAAACTCGTTCGGCGCATACCAACTTACGACCAAAGGACGTGTGTACTATTCAGTTGTCCGCTCCGTCCTCCTTTATAGCTGTGAGACCTGGCCGTTGAGAGTGGAAGACATGAAAAGGCCGGCTAGCTGTCTTTGATCATAGGTGCCTGCGTTCTATCTACCGTGTGAAGTGGTATAATAGGGTAAGCAATATTGAGGTTAAGCATCAGTGGTCGACTGGTAGGCAGGTGGGAGGGGAAATCAACCGACGAGGTGGTTGTGAAGCTACATCGACTGAGATGGTTAGGACATGCGTTACGTATACCTAGTCATCCCCTTCCTCGACTGACGGGCAATGTTAGCTGAAATACGGTCAGGCTGGAAAAGAGCTAGCGGTGGTCAAATGAAAACATGTCACCAGTCAATGAAATCCACAACAGTTAGTATAAGCCACGTAGGAAGGTGTAGACTTCCTGACTGGTTGAGGTCCTCGGGGCGGTAAACACCAATGGCTGGAGACAATTGGTGATATGGCTAAAAATCGTTCTCAAAGGCGCAGATGCATCCACTCCTTGTGACTTATAATATCCAATAAAACTATATTGTTCTTCAATATTCATATCTCTGTTTACTGTCTCTAATTTGCATATCTTTTTACTTTCTTCTCTGGCTTTGTGTGCTACATGGAGGGAGTGTGGCGACTTGAACTGTTGCACATCGGTGCAAAGTTCTATGTTGAAACCAGTAAGTCTGTCAGTCATCAGTTCAAGTTGGCACGCAAAAGTAGAGGAATGAAAGTAATGGAGACTACAGCGTCGTACACGGATATAATACCGTAGAAGGAATTAACTACATGAAGATTAGTAAGGCTTTCGAAAATTTAGTTGTTAACAAGCAATGAATGCAACTCGCTCGTGATAAAATAATAATGAGATGATGACCACAGGATTAGTGGTGTCTGTGTCAACTTCTAGTTGAAGGATAAAGAACTAAATGGTTGAATAGTCTGACCATCATTTCATGTATCTGGCAATGTCGTATTAACCCAAATGCGACTGAATGTGGCATTCAGTTTCTATCAATCAAAGGACGTGCATGCAGTGTACAGTTCACTCTATCCAGATTCACAACAAATAATGTATTAATTCTACGGCTGTTATACATGTAACAATTATTCTCTGCTCGTTACAGGATTGCTTTATGAGCTGACATCGGTTAGAGAACCATTGGGAAACCTGCAGAGAGTACTGCACAGCCAACTGTTTTGTCCTAGTTCGGGACTCCCCATCTGTACGCACCCACCGACAGGGTTCGAACCCAGGACCTTCTGGTTACAAGGCCAGCAAGCTCGTAGACCATTATGCCACTGGGACTCGATCAAATGACCAGTCCATGAATGCTAACTTCTGCCGATTCACGACATAGCGCGACCGCTAGCCAATGTCTTCAGAGAGTATTTGTCATCACACCCGATCTGCTGCACCCTACCTGAATAGGGCTAGTCGCTAGTGAGCAACTCATTGATGTTCAAGTATTGGTTTGTAGGGAATCGAGTGAAGTTGGAATTCATGGACTGGCCACTGGATCGGGCCCTAGTAGCTTAGTGGTCTACGAGCTCGCTAGCTTTGTAACCAGAAGGTCCTGCCGTTCGGACCCCAGTGGGTGCGTACTGATGAAGAGTCCCAAACTAGGTTGACGAAACAGTTGTCCAGTTCTCCCTGCAGGTTTTGCAATGGTTCTCTAACTGATGCCAGCTCATGGTGAAATCCTGTAATCAATCAATCAAATCCGTACAAACCAATACTTCAATATTCTCTATTCAATTACATGAAATAATTTATGTGACTGTTTACCTCTGTCTATCTTCAACAATGTGTCAATGCCCATTATTTCACAATGAGTTACTGAGAAACAGGCTGAAAATCCTGCAATTTGCATATGTAATTAGTAGGACGAGGAACGGACGAGGATGTCAAATCGAGAATCAGGAAGGCGAGAAACACATTCATCAACCTGAAACCAATCTGGAAATCTTCGTCACTCAGCATCAACAACAAAATTCGGATTTTCAATACAAACATCAAGTCAGTTCTTCTATACGGAACAGAAACTTGGCGGGTCACAAAGAATATTTCCAACAGACTGTTGCAGACCTTTATCAACAACTCTCTTCGCTCTATACTGAAGATCAGATGGCCGGAAACAATCACCAACAAGAAGCTATGGGAAGAAACAAGACAAGAACCAATCGCCTAGCAAGTATGCAGGAGAAAGTGGAGATGGATTGGACACTCGCTGAGGAGGCCGCTGGGTGACATCGCGCGTCAGGCCATAGATCGAGTGGAACCCGAAAGGGAAGCGGCGAGTGGGATGTCCAAGGGTGACATGGAGGAGATCGTGTGAAGAGGAGTTGAAACAGTATGGACTAACATGGATGCAGGTGAAAAGTGCAGCAGAAGACAGAAACAAGTGGAGACGTGCAGTTGAAGCCCTATGTTCCACTAGGAACCCAAGGGAACAATAATTAGTAGGTTATATTTCGAACTTTTACTAGATTGAACTAAAAATCATCACCACAAATTACAATGGCTACAACTTTACATATGGATTATTAAGTGAAAAAAACAGTCAGATGGTAAACTTAAAATAAACATTTTCAGAAAGTGGACAAATTGGGACAGATACCTAGACTGACTACTATTCAGCAAGTCCCTTTACCACCAAAGTAACTGTGACCAAGAATCTGATTAACAGAGTCAAACGTCTAGTTTACTGAGTAGGAAGAGATCAACAGGGAACTAAAATTGGTTCAGTCCACTCTTGAATCATATAATTACCCCTAAGGCTTTATAAAAAGATATTTAAAATATGAAGATTAGGATGAATTGAACTCTGTTGCTAAGATATAAGTATAAAACTTGGGCACTGTGGTAGATTATAACCCCATTATACATAAGATTTTATTTTGATAAATCACACCGTGTTACACAGTAATATTAACTGATGACGTTTCAAGCACAAACTATCACTGCTTATAATCATATCAAGTTACTCACACAAGTTTTTTCCTTCATTTATATACATGAGTGGAATGGATGATTAGACATTTGAATAAAAATCAATATAAGATGATAATGTACATTCAGAAATAATAATATGAGTGTTTTCAATCAAATATAATCAGATGGGAAATAAGACGAGTGTTTTTATAGTCAAAATAAGTAACTTGTTAGAATGTTATGATGTACGTGAATTGAAATAGAATTTTAAGATTATTTATTATCCTCCTCTGATTTGACTGACTGGTGGTAATAATATCTTCCGTATTTCTGGTATTTGCATTGAGTCATTTCTGTTGCATGTGTTGGGTGTAGACTCAATGAACAGGGATTCAGTAATCAACCTGTCTCTCCACCTACCTATGTTACTTCTTAGAATCTTAACCGTCTCTCACCCTATTGTGTAGTTGTGTTAATGCATGTAGTGCAATTGCTGAGCTTTTTTTCTAAATTACTTATCTTCTCGGGGTCAACCATTCTTCCCTTAGCTAAATTCTTATGTTCCGATAATCTGATTACCCCCGACCTACTAGTTTGACCTATGTAGTTGACCTTACTCACAGTTATTGCAAGGTATTTTGTAAATTATATTATTTTGTTTAATTGGGTACACCGGGTCTTTAAGCTTACATAGCTTGTCTCTGAGTGAGTTTGTAGGTTTCAATGCTGTATTAAGAATCCTACGTAGGGAGCGTTTCAGATGTCCCCTCCTTACATGGAATAACAGTAGATGACTTATATTCTCTCTTACTTATGTTATCACTACTAGTTTCACAATTATTTTTATTTTGCTTTTGGCCTTTTTCGATCTTCTTAATGAATTTTATAGGACAGTTATTTAACACCAACGCCTCTTCTATCTGTTCTATTTCATCATTATTTTATTTCATCCCATCTAATTGTATTTGATTAATAACACTCATATTATTATTTCTGAATGTAATTTGTCTTATATTGGTTTTTATTCAAATACCTGGTCAATTCCACACATGTATATAAATGAAGGAAAAAAGTTGTGTGAGTGACTTGATATGATTATGAGCAGTAATGAATTGTGCTCGAAACGTCATCAGATAATATTACTGTGTAATACTGTGTGACTTATCAAAATAAAATCTGTTCCTCAGAGTTGGGTTAGTACAATGGTGAATCCTTACTGCAAAGAAACATCCGATGAAATAATAAAGCGAATTCTTAAGAATTATGACATAACAGTGTATTTTCGTGCAGCTAACACCTTACGCTCATCACTGGTGAAGGTTAAGGATAAAATAGAAGAAGAAAACCAACAGAATTGTGTGCACCAGATCAATTGTGGGGATTGTGTAGGAGAAACTTCCATACAGGTAAATATAGGAGTGAAAGAGCATAAACAGTGTCTAAAGGTGGTTCCAAAAACCTCTGCAGACTTGAAGCTAGAAAACAGATCGGCAACTGTAATGCACTCGAAAGAAACCGGCCACAAGATCGAATTTGATAGAACTAAGGTTCTACAGAAAGATTTCGGATAGCATGAAGAAAGACTGATTGCAGAAGACCTACACATATATGGGTGAATCTCAAAAGTTTGAACAGACGTGAAGCCGTGATCTTGTTACCTGATGTATGGGAAATCCTGATTAATAAAAAGTAAAAAATGGATATGTATCACTAATTAATCATACTTGGTCTTAAAATCCCGATTGCCTATATCTTCTTATGGAGAGGCTAACACCATTGTATACCGCATATACACATACATATTTTTCATATACAGCCATGAACTTTTAGTCGACCGTAATTGCTAGAAATCTGATGAAAAGTACACTCTGTTTAAAGTGTTTAACAAAAGGAGACTAGTATTTGTAAGTCTGAGATCAAATTTTAATCACAGTTCGTGGAATTTTGTTTATTATATTTTGATTCCTGTTTCATTACTCATATAACTGGACAAAGTTTTTTAAGACAAGAGATGTCCTTTATATATATATATATATATATATATATATATATATATGTTTACATAGGGATTCCATTTGTGTCAGGTTAGACCACGGATTGATATCGGTTAGAGAACCACTGAAAACCAGGGAGTACTACATAGCCAGCTGTTTCGTCCTAGTTTGGAACTCATCATCAGTACTCTTTAATTTCGATTAATTTCACTGAGACTTTTATAAATATAATTTTTACATATGTACATATGTGTTGTTCTGACAAGTGTTTTTTTAAAGAACAGTAATTACTGATGTATAGAAAAACTTTAAAAATATATCCGTCTACCTGTCCACCACTTCGTCCTCTTCCATATTGTCTCCCCTCTTCAAAACCTGCATCCCAGTCTGTTCGTATTATTCGATCATCCAATCGAGTTTTGTTAATATATCGCATTGCAACTTCTGCACCTTCACGTGTACAATATTCCACAAAACAAAATCCACATGGAGTTTTACTAAATCTGTGTAAACCCATAATAACACGTTTAATTTCACCGGCTCGACTGAATAATTCCCAAATTTGTTCTTCTCGAGTATAGAAAGATAAATTGCCAACATAGAGAGTAGTAGATTCTTTTAAACATTGAGATAATTCATGCGGTGAAAACTGAAATTGAATTAGGATAATAGTTGCATAGTGATTAAGGCATTCAGAACAGTAACTATATATATAGATTCATGGGCATTGTATATTGCACCACACACACATACTGCGCAAAATCACGTGACTTAGGAAAGATGTGGCTAGAAATATGAGTAGCCTATTTGTTGTAACGCCTCTCATTCATTAACTTTAGAATTTTAAGATGACTTTTACCACAATCTAATCGTGAGTGACTGTTACAACCGGATATTCTGATAAAAAGCACTAACATTCCTCTGCATTCAATATGAATACTTGAGAGAACAATCAATACTACAATAGTATTATATAAATTACTTTTCAGGGAAGAAGTGACAAGAGTATATGTATTGCAAACTTGCATACCATATCAACAGAGCTTTCTCTAGTAACCTGCTTAATCAAGTATAAAAATACCATGGAATAAGCTCATTAACTCGCACCATGTGGATGATATACTCCTTCCCCCATGGCGAAGTCGTTGACAAAATAGAGCAGAGTCTTCTAAACACCTTCAGTAGTGACCAATCTTCGAATGTTTGGCATCCTATTCGCTCCTACTGGCAAATGTAAGAATATCGCTTGCTACAGGACTAGAACACACCGACTCGCGGCTTAACGATAGGGAGGTGGTGAGGTAGTGGAGCGTGTTGACCACTTCACTTATTTGGGGAGAAGTTGCATCAGCCATTCCCATAAGCGGGTTGATCGTTGATGAAATCTCAACACGGATACAGAATGGTCATTTGGCATACGCCAACTGACGCCATGTCTGGCTGTCTATCAAGTAAAGGACGTGTGTACTACTCAGCAGTACCGCGTTTGATCCTGCTTTATGACTGTGAGCGAGACAGGGTCATTGGAAGTGGAAGACATGAAAAACCTGGCTGGCTGGTTAGCTGTCTTTGATAATAGGTATCTGAGTTCTATCTATCATGTGTGTTAGGTGGTGGTAAAACAGATTGAGCAATATTGAGGTTAGGCATCGGTCGAGTGATGGGTAGGTGGTGGGGGGGAGGGAATCGACGAAGTCGTGAAGTTACATCGATTGGGGTGGTTAGGACGTGTTATACATGCATGACCAGCTATCGATCGCCTTCCTCGACCGAACCAAAACATGGCTTCATCAGTCAATCAAATCCAGAACAGTTAGTTTAAGCCAGCCAGTCACATCGGCAGGTGTAGATTTCCTGACTGGTTGGAGTCCTCGGGATGATAAAGCCCAATGATAGCTGGAGTCAATTGGTGGTATCGCTCAAAATCGTCGTTGTCAGTGGCTGGCGGAGAAGCATTCACCCTTTATCATTTATCATATCCAATTAAACTCTATTGTTTTTATTATTACTATTCGTTTTTCCTCACTCACACTTCTATTTATTATCTCTCTTTTGATGAATCTCTCTTTCCTCTCTTCTCTTGCCTTGTATGTTACAAGGAGAGAGTGTAACAACTCAAACTGTTGTACATCTGTGCGAAGTTCTATATTGAAACCAATCCGTCAGTCAGTTATACACATACATGGAACAAGTAGTATACTAGGTAAAAGCAAATAAGCTGCTCACAATAGTTATAGTAAACAGAAAAACGAAAAAGCAAAATATATGTTATGTGAGACAAGCTGACATTACCAATAAGAAAGAATAGAAACCATACAGTTGGCTGTCTAAGCTAAACGTATGCAAGCGCAAGTGTTCATCTGATATTTACATAGTCATCAACCTACTTAGTGAGTACTATACATTGCTATAAGGCGATTTTTAATTACTCATTGCTGAGCCATTGAGTTTCACCAGACTTGCGTTTTGAAACGCTGTTTCGACAACCTTCACAAAGTGTCATGATTTGTTTGTTTTAGACAAATACAACTTAGTTTAGCTACCTAGTTTTATGCACATACCTTCAAAACAGATTTATACAATGATATTTTACATTAGTGATAATTTTTATTTGTTTCTAATTGTGAGTATCCATAGCGTTAATTGTGGTGGACTGGATTATGTATGCATCAGACTGTGCACAGGGGGTGAGAAGATAGGAATACGCTGAACTGACCGATAAGAAGACGCTAGAAGATCTGTATTTCGCAGATGATTTATGTTTGGTGTCACACGAACTCGAAGACTTACAGGCGAAAACCAACAAACTGGCAGAAGACGTGAGCAGGCGGAGAAGACAGGAATCCAAGTGGACATAGAGAAGACGGAGGTGATGAAGGTAACCAACCAACCAACCAACAACAGCAACAACCAGCACCAATCACCACCAATGGGAGAGATTTCACAGAGGTTACTTCCTTCACCTATCTGGCTAGGAAACATCATTTTAACCACAGGCAGTCGGAACGGATGAAGATGTCAAAGCCAGCCAGTCAGAACCGGAAAGGCAAGATACGTCTACATCAACCTGAAACCAGTTAGGAAATCTTCTGCACTCTACGGCATAAACAACAAGATGCGGATTTTCAACTCAAATATGAAGTCAGTCGCTTCTTCTATACGTGTCAGAAACTTGCACTGTGTGTAACAAAAGGGATTTCTAACAGGTTGCAGACTTTCTTCAACAGCTGTTCACTCCGCTTACTGGCTCCATACTGAAGATCAAATAGCCAGCCAGTCAGAAAGAATTAGCAACAAGAAACTCTGGCTGCAAACAAACAAACCAAGAGCCGATTGCTCAACAAATATACAGAAGAAAAAGGAGATAGATTGGGCATACGCCCGCCCACACCATCCACACACTTCCTAAAGCACACGAAGCCTTCCTGAGTATCATTCTTCTTTACCCACATCACCTTCATTATCTCAGTCAGTCAGTCAGTCAGTCAGTTGCTAAGGGAAAATTTCTTTCTTTTCTACTGCTACACATACACACACCTTGCCCAAACATTAACAATAACTGACACCCTGAATAGTACCAAATATATATCATTATTATTTTTACTATTATTGTACGTAATTGTGAAGTCTGATGACACACTGATGAAAGTCCTTATTGACTTACAGTTGTTTTTCAAATGTAACAATAAGAATATTTAAGCAGACTAGATAGAATCTTTTATAGAACAGAATTATTTCATGCTGCTAGAATTCGAAACAATGAATGAAAAACGGATTATATTATAAGAGATCAAAACCTGTATAAGTGAAGAGATAGTAATACTGAGTTATGAGAAATATCATAATATACAAGTAAGACATAATTCCTTTGCGTTCCCAGAGAAACATAGGGGGCTTTAAGCTTCAGCTTTGAAGTTTTGGTAGCATTGGTGTTTATTTTTACGGGGTGAGGTTGCTAGCTTCACGCCCAACCACCCCTCGTTGTCGGATTATTACCGGCTAAAAAAAGATAAAGGTGTGTGCCGGCCGGGTCTCGAACTCCGGACCGTGTGCATGGTCAGCCAACACTCCACCGCCACTGAACCACCCACGCACAATAAGACATATAACAAACCATTTTTTCATCTGTCTATCTTATCTACACCCTCAACTGCATTATCCAATTAAGTGCAGAGTGAGAAAGAGAAAGTTACTGTGTGGTTAAGTAAAGGGCAAACAAAATCCATTCATAGAGCTATTTTATCTTATCTCATGGATACAGAACACAAGATTGATGTTAACGAGGAGGCTTTCAAAGTCATCTACCACATAGCAACTAATCTTAACTTCAACTTAAGAGTTCGTCTACTATATATTGCGGAGGCCGTTGGGATCCACATAAGAAGATGTTGGTGCCAACACTATCCTTACCCCGTTGGCCATCAAGGTTTTAATGATTCTCAATTTGCTGTAGAATATTCCTTAATTTTATTTAATATTCTATTTGCTATTACATTTATATGCTTATTATAATTTGTACGTCTTTCTTGGACTGTAATTCCATTGATCTTACTCACCAAATCGAGAATCGGGAAGGCGAGAAACACATTCATCAACCTGAAACCAATCTGGAAATCTTCGTCACTCACCATCAACAACAAAATTCGGATCTTCAATACAAACGTGAAGTCAATTTTGCTTTACGGATCAGAAACTTGGCGGGTTACAAGGAATATTTTCAACAGGTTGCAGACCTTTATCAACAACTGTCTTCGCTCCATACTGAAGATTAGATGGCCGGAAAGAATTACAAACAAGAAGCTATGGGAACAAACGAAACAGGAACCAATCGCCCAACAAATATGCAGGAGGAAGTGGAGATGGATTGGACACTCGCTGAGGAGGCCGTTGAGTGACATCGCGCGTCAGGCCCTCGAGTGGAACCCGAAAGGGAAGCGGCGAGTGGGACGTCCAAGGGTGACATGGAGGAGATCGTGTGAGGAGGAGATGAAACAGTATGGAATAGCATGGACGCAAGTGAAAAGTACAGCACAAGACAGAAGCAAGTGGAGACGTGCAGTTGAAGCCCTATGTTCCACTAGGAACCCAAGGGAACAATAATAATAATAATACTCACCAAATCGATAGTCTTCAAAAAACATCAATATTGTTAATGACGACTATTCTATAATATTCTGTATATATATATATATATATATATATATATATATATATTTGTAGAGCCAGAAGAGGAAATTATCGAAAAGGATATTCTTTGCTCATTTACTGCTTAGTTTACATCTTGGACACACAGTCACGTATCTCAACAATAGCAAAGGTTTTAAAGGTCGAGTGTGGGGACAAATACTCACCACTCATGACACTGGCTACTGGTCACACCATATCATGAATTGACAGACATTGGAATTTATGGACCATTGGATCGGGTTGCAGTGGCTTAATTGTCTACGAGTTCACCTTGTCACGAGGTTCTGGGTTAGAACCCCATTGGATGCGTACTGCTGGAGTGCCAAAATACGCTGATGAAATAACTGTTCAGCACTCCCAGGTTTTCCGATGCGCCTCTAACCAATGTCAGTTCACAATGAAATGCTGAAACCAATCAAATCAAATCCCTGTCAATCAACACTTGAAAAGATAAATGCAGAGTCTTCTGAGCACCTTGAACGGCAATCTACGAATGTTTAGCATATAGTTCCCTCCCGCCAAACGTAAGATGATGCTACGGGACTAGACTACATTGACTCCTAGGTTAGAAATATGGAGTGAAGTGGTAGAGCACGTTGACCGCTTCACTTACTTGGGAAGTACCATCAGCCCCAACGGGTTGACCTCTGACGAAATCTCAGTACGGATACTGAGGGCTAGTTTCGCATGTGCCAGTTTACGCCATCTCTGGCGTAGACGTGATATCCAGCTGGCCATCGACCAAAGGGCGGGTGTACTGCTCATCAATCCACTCCGTCCTCCCTTATGGCTGTGAGACCGGGCCATTGAGAGTGGAAGACATGAAAAGATTAGCTGTCTTTGATCATAGGTGCCTGCGTTTTATCTCCCGTGTGAAGTGGTATAATAAAGTGAGCAATATAGAGGGTAGGCATCGGTCGAGTGCTAGGTAAGGAGGGGAAATCAATCGACGAGGCTGTGAAATTACATCGACTGAGATGGTTAGGACATGTGTTACGTATGCCTAGTCATCGCCTTCCTCGATGGGCAATGTTAGCTGATATAGGGTCAGGCTGGAAAAGAGCTAGCGGCGGTCAAACGAAAACATGGCACCAGTCAATGAAATCTACAACAGTTAGTCTAAGCCACGTAGGAAGGTGCAGACTTCCTGACTGGTTGGGGTCCTCGGGACGGTAAAAACCAATGGTTGGAAATAATTGGTGACATGGCTCAAAATAGTTCTCAATGGTTGGCTAGCGCAGATGCATCCACTCCTTGTGACTTATGATTTCAAATGAAACTATATCGTTCTTCGTTATTACTATTCCCTTGTCTCACACCTCTGTTTACTGTCTCTAATATGCATTTCTCCTACTTTCTTCTCTTGCTTTGTGTGCTACATGGAATGTGGCGACTGCAGCACATATGTGCAAAGTTCTATGTCGAAAACAGACAGACAGACAAATACATTTGTTCGCCTTATCTGTTTTCTTATAAACTGAAATAACAACTAGCAGTCCGAAACAAAGTGATAAGCTGACTACTTAGCACTTTCTAAATGTTACTGAATATACTGCTACTCATGATATTACTGATATTTGAGGTTATTTTTTACTTGTTATTCTATTGACTGAAGTGGAAGGTAGCTATATAGTATGACATTTTTATGTGCCTTTCCTGTTAAATTACGAACATAAGTGAGACAATCTACAACAAATACTACCAAATATACAACCACTAACTGTTGCTACAAGAAGAACAAATCAACCCTTTAATTTTACACGACTCCCAAGTGCATTCATTCAGGTTGGGGGGGGGGGGGGTAGAATGCTATCCTACACTACAACTGCTAATTACGAAAGCCTAACCCATCATTCTGTAACCAATCCAATCCATGTCTAGTTTATGTAACAGCCCTATCGAAGAAACTCGTAGCTTTGAATTTAACTAGTCTATGGTACTTCACATTATATAACCAGATTGACAGACACCAACAATCAAAAATTAGTAATCTTTTGCTACATATTGTGGGCTACATGACGATATCCCCACCCTCATACAAGAATTTGACGCAAACTAGTCCATAATATCAACTAAAGGGGTCATCAGAAGCGAAACACTTGCCAACCATTTTCAAATTTCACTGGTGACATTTAAAGGATTGAGTTTTGTCAGGGAAAAATATCGCCACAACACTGGTTGATAGAGAACTGTACCACCATAAGATCATGTCTGAAAAGTATTGAACGCTTTAAGCACTTATGTTATGGAATTAGTCAATGTTTGCCCATCAGTGACTGAAATATACCTTGCTCAGCCATGTTTTGCCTTTCCCTAGCTTCACTTAGCCACCGTATCACTATAGAATTCGATATCACAAAGATCCATGTCTTTTCTCATAATTTGAGACGATCAACAATTTACACCGGCTTGATTTAACTGTTCCCATATGCTACGTGGCACTTCTAGACAACAAGTATATAATATCACTATTCTTAAACACTCCTGAAGGTAAACAATGAATTTCTGCTCGTTCACCTTGTTTGAGATGTACGACAGCATCAGTAAATATGGCCGCAGTTGAAGGACCGATACCCGCATTCCTTTCAGACTGGTGTTAAATGGTATGCACATGCTGTATAGTTATAAGACAGTTAAACTCTTCCTTGCAGTAGTCTGACGACGACTTCAACCAATGATGTTGAGATCCCATCCTTGTCGTGTGTAGTGTATAGGTGCTACCTTATGCTGATACACTTTCTACCTGATTCGAGTTTTGTTTCGCACTACTGAGGTCGGTAGTCATCTAGACTTTCAATAAGTGTGTTTCAGAAATATTCCCCTCAACCGATCGATCGAGACTGCTAAAAGTAGTCTGCTTATATGATGCAGCTATGTAAATACATTGGCTTTTACTAAATTTCGGCCACATGCTTACAATTACATTCACACCATCATTTTTATTGCAGAAGAGATATGGCACAAGACTTCTCTATAAAGTGATTATCGCTATCATACACAAATGTTTTATCAACTACATTTAAAACAGACCTGGAAAGCTGGACACTAATGAATTCATAACTATTTACTTTCAACGTTCATTTTGTTTCAATTAAACATACGCACAAACTAATGTACAATAAGAGTCACATGGATACCTTTCTGAATAGTTCCGTTTCCTATCTATACACTGACAATGCACACGGCCTACATATTCTATAAAAATTAAATCTCCTTAACATCAACCAACAACGTTAGTAGCCCATAAAGACCTTTTATAGTCATTCCACACTGCATCAGACAACACACCATAAAAAACTGTGATGAATTAATGAATAATAAACAAACTAAGCAGCCATAACCTAAGGTAAATTTAGGACCCTGGAAGTTTACATTCATTATGACATCCAGTGGTAATGTTAAAAAACAGTATTGACAGGCAAAAGACCTGATCGTTTCCACTGGTTGTAGAGGTTTACAGAATCGAAAGAATCCAAGCAAATGTGTTTGTTCGAAAGATGATGGTCATTAATTTTATGATATTCTTACAAAATACATAGGATTCCTGCTCGACAGACACTTGGTGACTTTGATTTGGCTTCTATATCATTTCTCAAATCTCAAGATTTCTAAAGTCTGTCTTTCATTAAAAATCAGTTGAAATAAACTTGAGAGCTAAACGAATAACAACCTCTAGTAATTTTATGCGGTGCACTACTGTAGAAAGCATACGAATAATAAAGTCATTCTTGATTACACCTTTAGAACCAAGCAAGAGAATTAACTACTGACACTGATAAATAACTTCAGACCACAGTCTCCAAATACTTTCAAACTTTTTCCAAAAAGTTTACTAGTACTCTTTATTTTAAATTAACTATGAGGGTTTAATTTTATTCAGTTAGAGACCCGGTGTCTACGCTATAATCAAACTAGATATTTCGAAGTTGATGGGCATCTCATCCGACGCATTAGCTGTTTCACTCGTGTCAAGCTGCTTGTAAAAGGCTGCTTGCTTGTGATAAATGCTGGTGAACACCGACCAAATAGTATGATACTTAAGCAATCATTTTTAATTCTCATGACTAAAAAAAGTGACAAGCTCAGCAGGACACTTAGGGACCAAGCACATTGAGCCCAAGACTCTTCTAGACCATAAACCGTTATACTTGTCATATGTATTGTCTTGAAAGTGGAGTATTGTGGAGTTTCGTGAAATCGCAGTATAACAGAGGGTAGTAAATGACCCTGCAATAGAATGCTAAAATGTTCAGTGGCAACAAAGTATCATCAGAATGATTTAACCATCTATATTTAATCATGTAATTGAATAACACTGCTTGGAAGAAATCTTTGTGGACATTAATCCACAGCAGATTTCTAAAATATGAAAGTCCACAATATGAATGTAAGAAAATAGATATAATATCACTATAACGCTATGTACATTTGGTACATCAGTTTCCACCAGTCTTTCATTGCAAACTGACTTCTCTAAAAATTCTTAACTGACTACCTTATTAGTTATCCAAAAAAGCAGGAACATCGACCGCATGAAAAATCTTCTGGAAATCTGGAGGTTTCTGCATCAAAGTAATGTAAGAATCTGAGGTAAATTCAAAAATTTCCGCAAAAAAAACTGGAACTGTTAAAAACACTAAATTATGCTTAAAGTTTCTTCCAAAATCTCCGAAAGTATCCTCAAACCCACTCAATTATACTAAAAAAGAATGTCAAAAGTTCGGGGAAGCCATGATATATTGAATCAACTCAAATTTTCACACAAAACCTAAAACTTACGTCACTTCTCCTGTCTCGATATGGCGACTTGTAAAATGCAGCATCCAGAAAATCGCAAACCTCTTTGTCTCTTGGCATACCGCACCACGCAGTTCAAATTGAGCGCTGCAGTAATAAAATCAGACGCCGTTATTAGTCAGATATCAGACTGACGACACTCTAATAAAAATGATACAGACATACAGTACCTCATCACTCTTAAGATTTTTTCTACGTAAAGACATCAATGCGTATATAATGCAGCTGTGGATCAAATTTCAGAATGGAAAAGTGAATTTATTGTTATTATTCCTATGGGTTCCTGGAGGGATATATGGCTCCAGCAGCACACCTTCAATTTTTTCTGTTCTCTGCAGATATCTTTTTTCTGCTCTGAAACCGTCGAAACTGCCTAGTCAAGTGAATGTAGTGACTTGTGGCGGTAAATAATTCCCCGAAATTATTGACCACAGCAATCATCACTCAACATTGGATGCTGACCCTCACTGTTTAAGTCGACTTGTTTAGCTGAAGGCTTCCGGTCAAGCATCCTTGCCATTTGGTACTCCGTCGTGTCACGTGCGTGCACGATCACTAGCTAGATAAGCACTCGAAACGGTTTACTATTTAGTCCTGAAATATATCACGTACTTTGGACGACTAAATCTGGCCTTTTGCTTTGTATTTGGTAAACCAGAAACGAATGCTTTAGAAGTTGTTGGCATAAGATCTTGCGTCAGTATACTCCGTACAATTCGCGAACGTCGATACCTTCAGCCTCCAAACTGGTGAGCCCAACCGCGAACTTCATCTACAATAAATACGCAGATAAACCCGGTGAGTTCGTTCCTTTTTGTGTTTGTTCTTGCACTATATTGTAATCGGCATACATTTCGTCATGAGTGATCCTAGCCCCAAGGTTATTCGTATTCGCTCAACTGCCAAAACAATCCAGCTCGTACCATATGCTGAAACATGGTTTCAGATAGATGAGTCTGATCTTTGTGAGCATGTGATAACCGGTCAACGTTCACAGTTCCTTGCAGTTATTCACGCTCTACCGCGGGAATTCAGCAAGTGCGTAACAGTGCAGATGTCGAGTCCAGAGGTAAGTAACTCGTACGAGTTTCTCAGAGCATCCCTCCTCAGGAGAAACGTTATCATGGATCGATAGCGTCTGGATGAACTATTTCGTAACATCGAGTTAGGGGATCAGTCAGCCGTGAGCATGCTGGCAAGAATGAGAGAGGTTATTGGCCAAAGTCACTTCGAAGAAGGACTGTTCAGAGAACTCTTTTCACCCAAACTGCCACAGTCAGTACAGACTGTGCTGGTGACACCCCAGGGTGTTATCATAGACGACTTAGCTGTCTCTACAGATAAAATTCTAGAGATAACTAAACGGCCAGTTGCCTAAATATAGTCAGTTACCGAACAGACTTCGAGTAAGGATATTGTAATGATTGAGTTATGCAACTCCGTCCAGCAGATGCTTAGGTCAAACAAGCCGAGCAATTCCTCCTGCCGTCGTTCTAAATCCCCTCAACGGCAGAACGCACGTGGCCGATCTAAGTCCAACGCACGTTCTCTCAAAAATCCTGACTTGTGCTGGTATCACAACACCCATGGCCAGGGAGCGAAATGTTGCCGCAAACCTTGCAACGTCGGCACTGTCTCAAAGTCTGTGGGAAACTATCCCGCCGGCACGCGCTAGCGGCAACCGTCGCCGGTGGCACTAGCCGCTTACTTTACATCCACGACGTGATCAGCCAAACTCGATATTTAGTCGACACAGGCACCGAAGTCAGTGTCCTTCCTGCTACAGCAGCAGATCGACAGAAGGAACCTATCTTCAACTTATAGGCTGCAAATGGAAAACCAATTGCAACCTTTGGTAGGAAATACGTCTATCTGAACGTGGGTTTACGCAAACCTATTCAGTGGATTTCCCTTATCGCTGACGTCACAATGCCCATCATCGGCACGGACCTACTTAATCGTCGTGATTTACTCGTAGACGTCCGCCGTAAACGACTAATTGACAACACTACTAGTCTGTCTATCAAAGGCACAACTTACATTGGCCCCAGCTTGTCAATCATTAAGATGAAAACAATCCTTGATCCAACTTTTCAACCGATTGTTGACAAATATCCGGAACTTAATTGCCCATCTAACGATCTCCCGTGCATAACCAGCAATGTTATGCACCACATCATAACCTCAGGACAGCCCGTGACATCTAAAGCACGACGACTGGCCCCCGACAAACTGTGAATTGCTAGAAATGAATTCGATCATATGCTCACTCTTGGCATCATTCGATCATCGAATAGTCCATGGGCATCTCCACTGCATATGGTACCGAAAAAGTATAGCGACGATTAGAGACCCACTGGTGATTACCGGCGAGCGAACGCCAAAATAACTCCTGATTGCTACCCACAGCTTCACATACACGACTTGACGGCAACATCACCTGGCGCATCTATATTCCCTAAAATCGACTTGGTTAAAGCATATAACCAAATCCCGATGGCAACGGAAGATATTCCGAAAACGGCTATCATCACGCCTTTCGGACTTTTCGAATTCCTACGTATGCCATTCGGCCTCCGGAATGCGGCCCAAACATTCCAACTCTTCATCGATGAAGTATTTCGCGGTCTCGACTTTGTATACGCATACTTAGACGACTGCCTCATTGCCAGTCCAGAGAAGGAAACTCACCTTAGACACTTGGACTTGGCATTTGAAAGGTTACGCTAAGATGGTGTTACCATCAATATTCAAAAGTGTCAAATAGGCGTTGACTCACTTGACTTCCTGGGTCACACTATTGACTGCCAGGGCATTCGCCCACCGGCTACTAAAGTCGAGGCGATACTGAACTTTCCAGAGCCACAAACAGTGAAAAGTCTGCGCACTTCTAACGGCCTGGTAAGTTATTATCGACGGTTTATACCCAACTGTGCCTCTCTGATTCAGCCATTAACAGACCTTCTTCGAGGGAATAACAATTTCATCGAACTCGACGCGTCTGCTCGACATGCTTTTACTCGGGTAAAAAAGGCTATTGCGGATGCCACACTTCTCATCTATCAGAATCCAACGGCACCGTTAAGTATCTCGGTTGATGCATCAGACACTGCAATCGGCGCAGTTCTACAACAACTAGTTAACAAAGAGTGGCAACCACTCGCCTTTTTCTCGAGGCGCCTTCAATTCGCTGAAACGAAGTACAGCACATTCGGAAGAGAACTTCTAGCTATGTACTGTGCTATACGCCACTTTCGACATTCAGTTCAGGGCCGTGAATTCATAATTTTCCCTGACCACAAACCCCTGATGTACTCTCTGAACTCAACCTCAGATAAGTATTCACCTAGAGAATCACGACAACTGGACTGCGTTTCACAGTTTACATTGGATATTCACCATGTATCCGGAGTGGACAACACTGTGGCAGGTGCCTTGTCGCGCGTTTGTTCCCTCACCCAAATCGATGGCATAGACCTTGTAAAACTGGCTCGTCTTCAAAAAGAAGATACCGAGTTTCAGCATGGGTTGTCGAAAACAACTCTACAATTAGCTGAGAAACCCTTAGGTATAGGAAAAGATACTATTCTCTGCGACATTTACACTAGTACTCCTCGCCCTATCGTGCCTAAAAGTTATCGCCGTAACGTCTGCAATACGTTGCATGGCTTATACCACCTAGGTATTCGAACTACCGTCAAGTCCGTAACTAGTCGGTCTTGTTGGCCTGGTGTTAATAAGGAAGTAAGAGAATGGGCACACACGTGCTTAGCTTGCCAAAAGTGCAAGGTAATAAGACACACCAAAGGCCCCCTTGGTACTCTTCTAATCCCTGACGCCCCTTTCCAACTCGTCCATACAGATTTAGTCGGGCCCATGTCAGAATCTCATGGATATACCTATATGTTAACCTGCATCGATCGCTTCACACGATGGCCTGAAGCAGTACCCATCAAGGATATATCTGCTGAAACTGTCGCACGCGTCTTTGTAGAGAGATGGATCGCAAACTTTGGATGCCCATCTTCCATAACAACTGATCGCGGGCGGCAATTCGAAAGCGGTTTATTCTTCGCTTTGACTAAAATCCTTGGTTGCATGCGTTTTCGAACAACAGCCTACCATCCTCAAGCGAATGGTATGGTAGAACGTCTACACAGACAGTTGAAAGCTGGTTTATCAGCTGCAGATAACACCCATTGGACTGAATCCCTTCCGTTAGTTCTCCTAGGGATACGAAACGCCTTAAAACCGATGCTGGTTGTACTACCTCTGAGCTAGTATATGGCACAACACTACGACTGCCAGGTGAGTTTGTTTCTCCCTCGAGCTTCCCACCAGTGGTAGATCACTCCTCATACGTCAGCAGGCTTACAAACGCTATGCGTTCAGTTAAACCTGCTCCCCTCCGACCACAGTCCATTGATGTTTTCGTTCACCCTTGTTTAAAAACTTCTTCACATGTATTTGTTCGTCGCGAATCTGTGCGTCGCCATCTCGAAGCACAGTATGACGGACCATATAAAGTAATTAAACGTACGGATAAACTCTTCGTCTTAGACAAAAACGGCCGCGAAGACACACTTGGAAGGTAATCCTATTGGCCTAGAGCTAAACGTACCCGATAATCCACAAGTAATTGAATCTCCTTTGGTCTTCGAAGAACTCCCTAGAACGGCGAAAGCCACCGAACCTTCGGAGGGGCTCTTTAAGAGAACGCGTTCTGGACGTCACGTAAGATTCCCAGAATACCTTCACACCTATATCACATATGTGAGTGATGCGATTCACCCAACTCATTCGTTTGTGGTATTAGTTATTATTTCTTCTTTTATGTAGCATCAATAAACACAAGTGAAAAATTTTTTCCTATAACCATACATTATACATGCACCAAAAAATTAGATGTATATTTTTTCGATTTTTTTAAACTTTGCATTATTTTACTGTATCGTAGATGCACATAATTTTTAAAAAAACACTGATTTGGTACATTTTCCTCAACAAGGTTCTCAGCATTCTTGTTTTCTTTTCCAGTTGCAAGGGGCGCTGAACAAGAAACAAACGAAGCACGGGATCCAACGAACAACATCGAGGAAGCTATATACAGACACCCTATTAGCATACACAGACAGACGATTAGGCACTCTGCCAAGCCACTCGGAAGATTGTTTTAACCCATAAGGGAACCACCGAGATTCTTTTTACTTATATAAATATTTATTCCTGTTTATACAGGAACATACCGATTGTACAGGCATGGATAAGTTATTATATAATTTACACATATTTCG